GGACCAGATGGACCAGATGGACCAGGTGGAGCTGATGGAGCCTCCTGGACTGAAGCAGCAGGATGGAGGGAGGACGGAGGGCTGGGGGAGTGGGGGAGGCAGGAGGTCGGAGGGGAGGACCAGGGGAGGCCCTGAGCAGATGAGGGAGGGGGAGCAATGGGAGCGATGAAGGTGGGAGGAGGTGAGAAGGAGGAGGCAGGGGGGAGGACGGGGGTGACGAAGGTGTAGACACCTGCAGAGGGGGGAGGAGTCACTGCAGGTCTAGCAGCAGGCGCAGCAGCCGAGGCGTAGGAATGACAGGACGCCGCCATGCTGGGCGTCGACGCCTTGATGGAGCTCAGCCAGGTAGGGGTGGAGTCAGCAGGAGGGGCGGGGCGAGTGGTACTTATCTCAGTTGGAGAGGAAGAGGTCGGAGGAGGCGGAGTCAAGGACTTAGGAGACGGAGCTCTGATGTCTTCAGTTGGACTCTTCTGTCAAAGGACACGGGAACAAAAAGAAACAGTTTATTCTATCAAACCAACCAGCCCCTCCAGAACCTCCTCAGAACATCCACATGATTGTTCCTATGACTCTGTGTCATAGACATTAAACTGGTACCACTATGACACATCCCATAATACTGATGCTACCAGCTGCTGACAGAGGACATGGACAGAACCAGGTCCAGTGTTCAGACTGAGACACCTGGATGGATGTAGAGCTGATCTGGTGTCAGGTTCTACACCCAGATGTGAACCTCTAAATGTATTCGGTGTGAACTGACCGTCTTGCTCCTCGGAGCTCGTTTCTTCTCGGCTCCCTTCCTCCTTCCTCCTTCACTCTGCGTCTGACACATGAACACAACATGTGGTCAAACACACCATCCTGCACGTTGACCGCTCCACCAAGACCGAACCACAGAACCCCCTGAACTCACCCCGAGGGCGGGGAAGCTGTGTTCATCCCTCAGCTGGATCTCCACCAGAGCCACGTTCCTCTGCTCCTCCTCTCTGGCCAGTCGCTGCTCGTCTGTCAGACCGAAGCCCGACTCGGCCGCTCCCACCGACTTCCTGAATGAGAAGAACCTGTTAGACGAGCTCGGCCGGTACAGGTGTGTTTCTGTCAGACGGGCTGCTCTGGACTGGACCCAACCAAGACCAATGATCTGAACAAGTCCCTTCCTCACACTCAGAGCTGAGCCCGAACCCTACAGCAACCACACGAGTAGAATCAGTGAGTAGAAATGAGACCAGGTGAGGTCCACCAGAGGAGGAGG